CGGAGCCTCTCGAGACGATACTATTCGGTATCTCTCGCGAGGATCGTGGGACAAATAAAAAGTTGGCCAGCTTTAAGCAAACGGTTTCGTCCGGTCTGAGCGAATTTTCTTCAGGACCAAAAGATATCCTCCCTCTGCCTCCGGGTGATTTGTGTTACTTGAAATTTTGGTCAACCGGATACGTTGGTGTCTTTGTTTTAATCAGGTTGGTACTTAATGACTTGATTTGAACTAGAAAAACTAACCTACAATTTATCACTGAATATATTTTAACACGTTAACTGTATTTTTTTGGAAATTTCTATAATCATGAAATAAAAAATTAATGAAGACAAATTAGTTTTAGTTAGATCGATTTTAATCCTTGACGCGATTCAGATTAGATTTCTGGAGAACAAGTAATCCTTAGAAAATTAATTAACAGCGAACTTTTATGAACACTGGAACGTTTGTATTATATATAAGAAAGAAGTTCGACGAAAAGATAAAAATTGATAAGGGATTCGGATAAAAATTGGGCAATTTGCGTTGTAAAGGAAGAAGCTTGGTGCAAAAAAGAAAAATATTTTATTTCTGTTAGTGATTTATTTAGTACAGCATTAGTTCAGGATTGATATTGGAAATTATCTACTATTTATTCATAGCATCTTATTTTTAATTTTATTGATCTAAATATAGCATATTTAGTTCTGAATTATAGCTACATAACATGATCGATGATATCTCAAGCTAAAATTAATTTTAACTAATTTTGTAATTGCAACTGTCTTACTTAAATGTACCTCGGTATCAGACAAGCAGCCAAACCAGTTTATTACGTACGTATTTCCAGTGAATTTGGTAATGGAAAAGAAGCAGCATAATACAAATCGTAAAGGTAATTCGATATTAAAGACAAGAAGCGAGAGCAGTTTATCATAGAAGTGAAAGAGCTAGCCAATCGCAGATAACCAAACTATCCAATTACAATCTAACTCGTCTGTCTACACCAATTAACCACGAGTTGCCATACACGCCACAACCAACCACGAACCAACGCAAACCACTGTGCTCGACCAATTAACTCACCGTTTCAATACGCAACAACTTCACTGTACCGTCGTTATTTTATCTACGTTGCAAACGACGAATCTTCCAACATCTTCGAACTCGACCGAACCAAAAGCGAAAGTTACGCTTCTCTTATTCGTGTTGATGTTTGTATGGTAAAAGTTGCACCGTGTCATGTCATCGGACGACGTTTGCTACGATTCTTCATCGTTGTTGAAGAAAGAGACTGAAACGGAGAATGGCGAAGAAGAGGAACGAGCAGAGGGGAAGGACAAATGTCGAAAACCGTGGAGAACGTTGGACGCCCCTTCGGTCGATCACGACGATAACTTATACGTAGCTGTTCGTCAGAGCTTGCACAAGGTTAATCAAGTTTCACAAAATTCCTTGTCCCCGCTAAGAAACGCTGAAATTGGGAATAGAAGTGGAGTGTCGCAGGAGTCCAGCATGGGAAGATTTTCCACCATAAAGGCGTACTTTGATATGGGCCAGGAGGAGGGGTCAAGGTACACATGCAGGACCACCATAATGGGCAAGCTGAAGAGGATGCTGGAGTTGAGAAAACGAGAAGCGAGTTCCATGGGTTGTTTGACACAATTTTTTTTTTAATTTTGTTCTCGTTTGTGTAATAATTTCATTTGGTCTGCGAGAGTCTGAGTGCCACGTGTTCAGATCGGTATATTGTATTGTATGGTATTGTATGGTATTGTGTGCTATTGTAATTAATACGATACATTGTGGACAACAATGCGTTGTAAATAGATGCTTGAAATGTGTTTGGTTGTCATTTTAATGGAAAATTGGAACTGCAAGTGTGTTCGACTTGATAGAATTTCTTCTTAATTTTGTTTTTATTTCAATGATAGGTTTATCTAATTCGCGAAGGTTTGAATGTTACATGGTCAGGTTGTTATATAGAGTGGTGAAGGAATGTACTTTGTGAAGGACGTTTGAAACGTATTTGATTGCCATCTTAATTGAAAATTGCAAGAACGAGCGTTTGACTTGATAGAATTTCTTTTTAATTTTTCTTTTGTTTGAATAATAAGTTTATCTAGTTTATGAGAGTTTGAATGTTACGTGATCAAAGTGATACATGGTATGAAAGAGATATGTATAATAGATGTAGGTTTTGTGGTTGATATAATACAATGTGGGCAATGGTGCATTGTGAATAGATGTTTGAAATGAATTTCGTTGTCATTTCAATTGCAAATTGGCGTAGCAAGTGTTGATCGTTGTGTAGCAAGGTTTGCCTTTGAAGTGGTGTAGGTTTATGTGTTATGGATAACGCGTTACAGAAGAACATAATATCGCAAGATTATTTGATTATTTCGTTTAATCGAATATTCCGATTGTTGCATGTTAATAATAATATTGACATAGAAAAGAAATTAGGGATATAGGTTTTAAAGTTAGATTTATGCATTTTGTATATATATATACAAAAGATTTGAAAGAAATGGACATGTAAATTCTCAGGGTAGATTTACGATACTACGATGATACCTTTAACATTCTGTTTTCATTCCTTTTGCGATCTGAAGTTCTTCGGTAAACTTCATCACTGTTTCCCTTCTTCGTTGCTACCAGCTTATCTAGAATATACTATCATAACCGTGAGCTGCATTTTTATCTCCAGTTATAGAGCTTTCGAGACGACTAAATTATAAGACAAATATTTCCACGACCCTTGAACCTTCTACTTTTTCAAACAAAGTAAAAGAACAAAAATGTATCTTCGCTTCGCAGAATCGACGATGAACGGTTTGAAGAAAGACGTAAACGGCAATATAATATCAGACTAGAAGAGAACTACGAAGGGACTTGAAAGCTACTGCCGTTCTATGATCAGCGGAAGGAAATCATCGAAGAGGAAACAAACTGTTCAAGAATCTACCGCTGTTTTATCGGATAATCCCCGCAAACGTGGGACGCGAGCAAAATTATATTTTAATTCCATCTTTTGGTTGTTTCGTCGGCAAACGATATCGTGAAACCTGGAAATACGAAGCAACACGAGCTCATTTTTCAGTATACGGTCAAAACTATTTGCGGGGTTCAGACGAAAGATCTTATAGGTATATCATACATACTTTAATTTGAGAAAACTAAAGTTATTTTGTCTAAAGTTATCAGGATATAAGGATTATTATTTACACTATAATAGGTATATTTATTCGAGTTTTTGTTTTCTCAGCAGAAACATGTATTCTTCTTTGTTTTGCTTAAAGTAATAGTGAATCGTTTTATTATTTTTCATTAGTTGTTTTTAAGTTATAACAAAAATACGCTGAAGAGGAATATTAGGAAAAAGAATTTCTGGTATTTCTAGCGTTAAATTCTTAAATGTAATAAAGACATGTTATCATACGTATTCATAAATATTTGGGAATCTATAGCAAAGTTGCCCAAATAAATACTCGATATTGTGTATTTAAATTTATATGCCGGTTTTAGAAAAATATTCGCGCTTGTGCCATTTTCTCATCGATTGGTCGGACATTGGTCAACGGTTGTCTATTGAAGATTTATTTACACGTTGCGATTGTCCGCCAATTCACAACTAGCTCGATAATAAAGTTGTCACGATGAAGTTAACGAGGTACGGTGATGGAATGAAAATTAAGTAAGTTTTTCTGAGAAAGATCTTGGCAATGGAAAATGTTGAATGATAAAGATGATTTATGACATTGTGTATGATTTTAATAAATTTTCTGCGACTTCCCTAATTCTGGCTCCTTCATTCTGGAAAACCTGGCTCGTTTAATGAGATGGATATATCTGGTTCAATGTTGTTTCGATATAGTTAAACTCTACCTGAGAAAGAATATATATGTAGTTGTAAAAATACTTGTAGTTTGGTTCCAAACAATTTTTTGTTTCTACTTCGATCAAGTGACATTATATATGATAATATGTGACAAATAGATATTTACAAATCTTCCTTTATATAATTTATAGACTGCTTTTTTTTTAAAAAAAAAAAGAGAAGATAACCTTCTAGAAGGTTTTTACCATAAACGTATCTGTGACATTTGTTAGGCTAAATCGTTACGAGAGCCGAATAAGTTTCTTTTGAAGATACTTAAAACAATCAAAGAATCGCATTCTTCAATGACGTTGAAGAAATGATCAACTGAAATATTAACAACCATTTTACATCTGGAAAAAATATCAGCGAACTTTGTCAAATAAATTAGCAGCAATAAGGGTCAACGATCGTCTTACAGCACAAAGAAACCAGCTATCCGTCAACGAGTAAATACACAACGAATAATAAAAAAAGTCGAAAACATAATCTTTTGTAACCAATCGACGTTGATTAAAACTCTTCGTTCGGAGCAAGGTAAACGTCAACCAACAAAATTAAAGGAACAGCGGCAACGTTCTCCAATCAATTAACAGCGACAAGGAAAAGAAATTTCCATTGGCCGATCGGAACACCAATTCAAATCGGACTCCAACGTTGATGTAAATGTTCTCCCAACCCATTTTAACCGTCTTAACTGAAATCGACAACCGTTCTTTCCCAACACTTTTCACTGTTTAGTACTATTTCGTATTATCAACGTGGCTGATCTTTCTATCGGTTCTAGAATTCGTTCGTTCGCGACGTGCCTTAGATGTAAGTGACTGGTTTCGTATGCGCATCGTCGTGTATTGTCGCTGAGACTGTACTTGCAAAAGAAACAAAGGAGTTTTGTTGTCTCAGCGTGCGCGTAGAAACCGTTAACGATTGGTTCGTACAAGGTCCGTGATACTCTTCAACCGAATTTCGTCCGACCTTTCTGTCAATAGACGGATCATTTTCACTTTGCGAGACGAATAATAGGCAACAAATAATAAATAATTCCACGGAGTAATACATACGAGGGTCTGTATTTAAGACTAGAGATTTATTATTGTTATTTAAGACGTCTAAAAGGAAAGAACGTAATGGAACAGTAATAGAAATATTAATAAATAACAGAGGCTATCCAAATAATATATGATTATTAATATATAAATAATAGATAATTATCGATATTATATAATAACAATAATAAAATAATAATAATAGTAATCAATCAAAATAAAAGAAGAAACAATCGAACAACCAAGACTCAAGATGTCTGAAGAAAAACGTAGCGAGACCACCTACCGTTTGCTCGAGGATTCCTCCGACTCACCGGATTTGTCTCCAACCGACAGATACGACACTCCAAACCCGACGCCTTCGAAATTTCATACAGATTCGAGTCCCACCATGAATAGTCTGATAGAAAGGTTGAGGCAGTTGCGAGTGAAGACGCCCGTGGAACCCAGGGTACCCTTTCCTACTCCTGTTAAACTATCTCCCACTGAATCTTCCGAGCCGTCTTCGAGCAAAGACATCAAGCTACCCATCTGTAGTGGGTCTGATCTGGTGAAAATGTTAGAAATGCATATCAATACGCGTTTATCGATTTCTGAAGAACGATGCAGTCCAGTTCGCGGCAGTATCGACGACGAAACGTTGAAGATGATGTTAGCCAAAGAACATGAACGTCGTCAGATGGAAAATTGGGAATTAGACAGGGAGAAATTAGATGAAGGGAAGAGCGAAACGATCTTGAGTCCGCTTTTAGGTCGCCGTTTGAAGAAGAATCGAAAGTTCTTCGTGGATGTCCCACCTCTGGAAGAAATTGATTCACCGCAGTCAAGTGTGGACAGCTCTCTCCTGGTTGAAACTGGTTCACCTGTGTTAATGGAGTGTCACCCGGAATGTGAGCCAATTCGTCAGGACGATGAACTGGCGTTCTTGTCGCATAGCTTGCACAACATCTCTGGAGCGTTTTCTGAATTATTGTCGTTGAATAGAGATAGTATGGGATGCGAAGCTAGTGACAAAGAGAGTAGCGTGAAGTTGGAAACGAATGTATTGATAGAAGAAGGGAAATTTAAGGAGCTTATAGACGTTTACTTGGGAGATTGCGTGAGCTACGAGCAGAAACAGATGGTGTTCGATAGCTATATGAGTAGCATTAATTTGAACAAATCTGAAGATTTTACCGAATTTACCGAAGCGTACAGAAAGGACGATCTTGTTAGTAAGTTTTTGGCTAGGGTTTCTTTGGAGGATTTGCCTGAGGATCGAAGAGAAGCAAATTGGAAGGTTAAAATGGTCGAAGAGAAGACCGTGGATCAGAATTTGTCCAAAGAAGAAGGAAGCATCGTGTCTCAAGACGGAACGTGTAAGAACGAAGATATTGTATCTCCTAATAGAGACATTTTTTTGAAAAAATGTTGCTCCGAATCCGATATTTCAAACAGTCCTAAAACCAACGATGACGTTATATCCGAAGAGTATATCAAAAGATTGGATAGATCTCAATCGATGACGGACGAGTTAACACGCGCCGGGTCCTACTCAGAGCTATCAATGAATTTTGATATGCAGATCGAAGAGAGGATTACTGACACTTTCAAATTGATAGATTCTTTTGATACAACTGGTGATCACGAAAGCTCTGATGACCCCATAGATTTTTCGATAGCTCCTGAACAGAAATCGTCTGGCTCGGTTGATTCTTTGACGAGTTCAAAAGAAGATATAAATGATAATCAAAGAGATTCGAAATCATATGCTAGTGACAAGTGTACCGAAGATTCGAATAAAAGCAGCGAAGATAATGTTGCGAGCATTTATTATTCAGTCAGCTCTCGTGGGAGCATTGGTTTAAACGAACTTCCCAATGAAGTAGACAATATAAAGGATTCTTCTATTGATTCGAGGGAACGAGAATCGTCGACAGACACGAGTCATAAAAGTTGTGGTCCATTGCCTGACGTAGAAGATGAAGTTTTCGAAAATTTTGGCTTGGTCGATAATTTTAAGAGGGAGGCCTGTTTCCAATCGTTTCTGAGAAGAGTGATGAAGAGAGAATGGATACGTTCGATCAGAAAATTGAGGAATTCGTCAGAGAAAATAATGGATGCTGAAGATGATAGGAAAAAATCGGAGAAAGCGAAGAAGGAAGATACGTCGTCTTCGTCGATGCAGAAATATGACGACAGTGATCTAAAATCGACGAAATATTACGAAACGGAAGAATGTCTGAAAATAAAATTTAAGAAGAGGGAGCCTAAGATATTGGAAGAGAGAAATCCAGGTAATCTGTGTTGTGTCAATTTATTTTAGAAAAAGATGAAGAAATTTAGTCTCGTCGCGTTGTATAAAATTTAGTAATTGTCGGAAAATGTACAATTGCAGACGTGTCGTTTGACGTCGGAAATTTGTGTATAAGATTTTTATTTGAAATTTATATTGCGAATCGTAGAATTAGAAATTGACATGAAAGAAATTGGTATACAACTGGAAATTGTTGAGATTAGAATCAAAGCGCAGAGAAATTGGAGAATTTACGAATTCATGTTAAGTCCTCGGAAATTGCAGCATACGGAGTTGCATGAGTCCTGTGCCGGTACGAAGCGAGTTGATTGTGGTAACAAATTCTTCATTTATTTAGGTGGCTTCTATTGACAGAATAATCCAATTAGGTGAACAAACATTGGACAGACTGCGAATGCTTTAAGTAATCTAATCCAAAGGTTTAACACGTCGAAGATACAGAGTTACCAATATACTTTCTAAAAATGACAAATAATAAATTTCTTAGAAAATACTAATTATAAATCAAACATCAAACTTTTAAAATCCTAATCACGATACAAAGCGTAATATTTGAAATCAAACTTTTTCCTTCGTTTCAATCCTAACACCTTGCAATTTTTTGCCTCGATATCTTCTCAAAATTACCTTCTGCGGGTATATATATATATAAAACGCAACACGAAGTTTATCAAAGCAGCAGGTCAGAGTATTCATTATAAATTCTCGATGGTGTCACGAGGCTCGTAAAGACAGAACGAATAGCTGCATCGATTTATCTCCGTAAAACGCATGCGATGCTATCGATAGAAAAACGGGATTATGGTTGGCGTGCGATCCAACGTACCACCGCGGTTTCTCTTTCTTCGTCGACCGGCAAACAGCAATTTACAATGGCCGGCGATAAGCCAACTAACCTATAAATCATCCACGAAGAAAGAGAGGCCGCGAACGAAATATATGCGAAGCATTAATTGGAAAGATAACAGGTTGATTATACCAGATAACGTTTGCTACTGCCTCGGTCAATATTTGCCAATAGTTAATTACCACGAATAGCACACTGTCGTTCATAAGCATGCGGCCACTCCGCAGAACTTCTAATAACAATGTGTGAATTTTATGTGTTACGTTCCATTAGCGATGAATTAGTAATTGGGAATGATATTTATTATTTTCTTATTTTTGTTACTATTATTATCGGATATATAACTCTTTAACGTACAATTCGGTTACAAGTCGTTCATGGATGACAGTGCTCTATTAATTAATGTTATATTATACCAAAAGGAGTATAGTGAGAAGAGAAAAGTCACAAAATTTATCGGCGTTTGTTGTTACGCGATTAACACAGTTAAATTGACGGAAGATCGTACGATGAGCTTCCTTTAACAGTTGTTGAAGTGATCACCACTTTTAAGAAAACTCGACATCTGGTCTTTTTAGTTTTCTCAAGCACTGAAGCCATCGACAGCGTATAGACAATAGACTAGGACGAAGGCAGACCATAGACAGTAGACAGGCGACGATGGCTTCGGGGTTTTCAGTTATAGGGTAACACTGCCAGCGTGCGGATCTGGACCAGCTTAAATTATATTCCTACTTGTACTTACACTTCTGTATCAAAATATATTTTCTACTTCACAATTTATCTACGCGTTCCTCTCTTCATACATCTAATAACCTCAACAGCAGTAAACTACGATCTCGTCTGAATGACGCTGACGTATTTTACTTGAAAAAAGACACTGTGTCAGCGCACACGATAGTGACATGTGTGGAATCAATAGATTGTACCTTGAGAATGTATATTAAAGAAACATGTCAGTAATGTATTTTATTAGTCGAAGATTACAGAGGAGAACACGAGAGGTCACACTTTTTATTCGATCTTATTTTAGTTGTCGTAAAATTAATTAAATTATCAAGAACGTCTTATGAATGATAACAGTTTGGTTTGTCCGTAATTTTGTAATTAAACTAAACCCTCGCAGAGTGCAAACACGAGCGACAGTGCAACTGACTGATATAAGCGTAATACAAGTTTAACGTGCAATAGAAAATAATAGGAGAGAGATCGAATCAGCGTGGATTTTAGCTTGGTAATCCGTACGAAATGTTCGTTCGAGAGATACTAGGAGATTACCCGTGTGCTTTTTTCCGGAAACTGTGTCAGATGCGTGGTTACGATAAGCTGGTATAATTTCTGGAATGGATACCGGCCGAGCTGCTTCGACTTCGCGATACGAACGTGAGTCCTTCGCTGATCTCGGGATTCGGGATTTCGCTACGTTTCAGCTTGTTTCAGGGATATACGTGTGTATGTATATATACATATGCTTGTTTCGATCGTTTATTCTAAGGGGAAAGATCGACGATTTGGAAAATTAGCTGGTGATAACGGTCGTATCGATATAGAATATCGTTGAATTTTTTTAAATTTTTATAACTATGGGTTCGAGAGATTTGGCAGACATGATTTTTAATAATTTTTTAAGATATCGAGGGATGAATTAAATATGCACGAACAATTGTACATCGATTTCTTGCCTTCAATCTCTAACTGAAAATTAGAAGTTGCAGAGAATCGATGAACAAGGTTTTTACGAATTGTTTAAAACATCGAACAACTTGTCGCTACTTTCTCGATGAGTTCATAGAAATGGTAATTTTTCAATGTTTATATTCCATTTCATCGTATACATGTAGTTTCTTCTTACCTCAATGAGCAAAAATAATTCTCGTAACTGGGAGGAAATAAAACAATGTACCAAGTTAGCAAGATTTCGTCTTATAACTAGAGGAAATAAAACCACGTACTGAATTAACAACATTAACCACGTTAACAGTAAGCATTCATGTCCTAACAAGAATTTATTGATTTTATTAACAGATGTGCCCTTTCCGCCGTCGCACAAATTGACAGTGGCTGATGTGTTCGACCCGCGAACGGATCGGCCACGGCCGGAAGTCCTCAAGCAACACTTTATCCTGGAAGGTAGAATCGACGAGGCAGCGGCTCTTCGTATAGTCAACGATGGAGCAGCCCTTCTTCGCTCGGAGAAGACTATGATCGATATTGAAGCTCCAGTTACCGGTGAGTCCTCTTCATCTTTTTCTTTCAGAACATTTTTACATCGCCCTCCATCCCGCAACGTCAATTTCAATCCCCCGTGAAACGTGTATCGATCAAATCTACTTCGCCAAACCAATCCAAAAAAAGAAAGCAAAGAAGGAAAAAAAGAAAAGAAAGAGAATAGCAACTCTGGAGAACCTTTCGAAGAATCGAGTCGCAGGAAAGGACGCGTTATATGGCGGCACGTTAGAGGGAAAAACATGAAAGGCACTTGACACAGTTACGCGCGGCGAGAAAGACCACCGATTCCACGGCTTCGGTATGCGTTTACATGAGAACGATCGCGACATCGTGAACGAAGCGAAGTATCGACTTCGTGCTACCATCTTGTCCTTCATATGTGTATACAGAGTGTCGCGAAATATGTAGAGGATATTTGAGCCTTTCGAAAACCAAACAGATTAATTCTTCTTTTTATGAATTTCTTAATTTCGTTATACAGACTGTCCCAAGTTTGAACGATCGAACTTCGCCAACATGTTGTACGATGAGTAGGAATAAGGGAAAGACGTGTACGAATATACGTGTGCTTTAGTAACACACGTTATCATGTTGAACACAAAATCGATTTATTCTTCCATTTCAAAGTACCGTTCACCGTTTCGAACTCAAGCTTAACGTCGTACGAACAGATTGAGCTTATCGCTCTCCGAATTTCGTGTTTATCTTGCTTTAGTTCAATGAACGCGCTATTAATCCTTTTTATTAGTTTTTCCCAAGAACCAGTTTTTATACGATACACAGTTCACTTTTTCTGTCCCCCCAAGATAAAAGTCTAACGGTGTCGGATCTCGTGATCTCGCGGATCAAATCGTCTTTCACGATAACGTTCGTCCCTCGCCCTTAGGTTTTACATTTTTGTCTTTTAGAAGCCTTTATAAAACGTTTACGGATCTCTGTTCGTACAAAATCTGTCTCTTGTTTCCACTTATGGAACATATTGGCGAAATTTGATGGTTTTTGATCCTTATCCGCCCCTCGGTTTCGCATTTCAATCTGTACATATCCCTCGGTATTAATTTGACAGTGGTAAAAAATCAATGAGACGAAGAGGAGAGTAGTTCATTTTGTAAATTCTCTTATCGAGTATAAAAATTCGCATTCTTTACAAGGAATAAATCTGTGAGATGACCGTAAAGTTGTTTTACACTTGTCGCAGCATGTGCTGCGAACATTTACATTCTTCTTCCCTCAAGTTTATGCTAACTTTCAAGGTTATAGATGACTATATATATCCTGGAAGGGTGGTACATGGAGAGCATAATTGTCGTGTAATAGCAAAATTATAGCTGCCAAAGGGCTTGATAAAACGTCAAAGTTATATAGGTCAAATTGATACCCAACAACGTTTTCGTAACAAATGTCATTTACAGGTCTAAAGGTATTTTTTGTCCATAAAAATAACAAATATATCCTATTCGTGTGAAAAGAATAAAAGTCAAAGAGATCCAGAAAAATGTTTGTACAAATGAACGAGTGTAATAGAATCTTTCACTGAGAAAATATGTCAAATTGACACAAGGGGTAGAGTAAAGGTTAAACTTGGAACACCCTGTATAAATACGCGATGAACGTTCAATTCTTAAGGAGCAAATAACTTATTTCCGTAAGACAGCCCATCGCAAGATGATGACACACTTAATGGTATTTGTAAATGAAGAACAGTGTTTGTACCATTATTGCTTTTTCGTGGCGCACTAATATTTTGTCACACCCTGTATATACGTAGAACGGACAAGTTAGTGCCGCGTGCGACGGATGCACGGTTGAGCGGTTCGTTTCGTCTGATCCAATAAGGGTAGCCTGATCGATTCCGCTCGTGTGAACCGGCCTTAAACCCTCGACAAGATAGAAAAGCGAGGCCTCGAAGCGTCGATGCCTGCCTGCTGACGCGTTTCTCTGTTTTAACGCGACGTCGAGCCTCTCTCTTTACTTTGCCTCTTCTCGTCCTGCCTTTCTTCCCTCTTCTTCCTCTTTTTTTTTTTGTCGTCTCTGTCTGGCTGCTGCTGATACTTGGATCGAGTATCGCGCCACTGCAATTGAACGTTGCAGATTCAGATTGGTGGTTGAGTTTACACGAAATGGCGAGATTCTTGAAACGGTGCGCGTGGAACTGGGAATTTTGGAAATTGGCGCCAGTGGAATTGCAATTTCTGGAGATGCGCGCGTATAGAATTACGTTTTGAAAATCGGAGCACGTAGAAATGCGATTTTAGAAATTGGCTCGTATGAAATCGAGAGTTTCCGAGACTAAAGCGTACGGAATTGGGAATTCTGCAAACTGGTATCCATGGAAATCCAAATTTAAAGATTGAAGCGTATAGAATCGCGAGGTTTTTCTTTTAAATTCTCAACAAATTGCCAATATTGGAATTCGCCAGGCTTGGAAATGCGAATTTCTACGTTTTCGCCTGTCGGTTTTTCCTATTAATTGCAAGAAAATTAACCGAATCGAAACGATTAAAATCTCCTTTGAGTCGTTCAAAATTAAAAATGCAACAACGAGGAATAAACTGGTAAAAAAGGGTAATTTAAAGGGAAGAAAAATATGCAAACAAAATATCCAAGCTCAGATATAAAGCAACGAGGGTAAAACTCACAGTAAACACGGGAATCGGGATTTTTCCAGTAAATATGTATGCCCCTTTGAGCTATATCCCTCGTTAATTAGTTCCAGTTTGCCATAATCTATTAGTTTTGCAGCGGGTAAAAAGTATAATCCTTCAACATCTTGCACATTATCCTCTTTCTTCTTTCTTACAACTTCCTCTTCAATTTCGACTTCGACCTTTTTTAACTTTTTATTTTCTTCTACCTCATCTCTCTGATTTCACGCGTTTCCCTCCCTCTCCTCTTTACCTTCATTCTGCGGCTCTTTCCTTTAATTTTGTCTCAAAAACTTCTCTCTGTTCGCTTACTGAACTCGTTTTCTTTTGTATTTTCTCCGAGTAGTCATTTCTCTCTTTTTCGCGAAATCAGCACCAGTCAACGGACCGAATCTTCCCCGTTCTTCTTTTCTTGAGTTTCTCCTCTCGCTAGTCAACCATTCTTCTCCATTTTTCTCTTTCTTTCCGCCCCTTTCTCCTCGTCGATCCTTGGAAAAACGCACCTGGGCGGAACTGCCGCAAAACCATCCACTCGAACCTTTGAAGTACGTTCTTTCGCACCTTTCCTCTCGTGTTCTCCTCCATTTTCGCGGATCTACGTGCCGACGGATAATGGCTGGATTAATTGGGTCGAGCGGTGAACAACCGCGTTCCTTAAATAATATTCCTTTGAACCGAAAAACAAGCAGAACAAAATTAAACCTATCCGTTAAAGGGGGCAACTTTGAACAATTTCTTAATTTCGAATCAATTAAAATTTTTCAATAGAAACAACATAAAAACTAGTCCACCATAGTTCAACTAAAACAGTCCATTTTTAACAATTCCGCTCATTCTCGCCTCTATTTTCATTCTTCGCGTTACACGAGAAACGGTATTTCACGCGAAAAATGCTGTTATACATCAAAATAAATTTACGCATCGATTCTTTCAGTTTTCAAAGCTATCCACCCAGAATCCCCCTTAATTTCGATTCTTCACGATGGATGGCGTCCGACAATAGGACAGACGTGTTCCCTAGGTGGAACGAAATGAAAGCAACAACCCCGACGCGACGACACACACACACCCCCTGCCCACGTCGCGAATCCTCAATTACGCGCATCAATTAGTTCCATCACGGTCGTCTTCACGGTGTCTGCGATTGTTCTGCAGACACAATACACGCCAGAACACAATAACTCGAATCGATTCGATTCTGTCCTTCATCCCTCCGCAGCACGCCCTCGTGCAGCCTCCCGCCTTCCAGGCGACGACGACCACATCTTCCAAAAGGGGTTGTTATTACCTTTCGTCGACGAGACGACGACGCGACTTCTATCGTTTACGATTAATCCGCTATCATCTCGTCGTTGTCCTTCTCTTTTTTTCCACCGCTCTTTTCTCCTTTCTGACGAAAAACAGCGGAGTAGCTTTTTAATTCGGTATGGTAGGGTAGTTCTTTGCGAATTCTTTTAGGAATTTTGTATTCGGATGTTTGTCTCGTGAAAAAATTTTGTTTTCACACAAAGATTTACTTTTGAATATTTTTATATTGAATATTTTGTATATTGTTGCATTTTGTCGACGTTTAGGATTAATGTACTACCGTATCTTCTTTTTATCTATTTATTTTTTCTTCTTGGAAGGTTGAGAGAGATAGAAATGAGGATAAAGATATCGAGGGTACTTTACTCTTTCAGGATATTTCTTGTGAATTTTTAAAGGAATTTTCGCGTTTAATCGGGTTCTTCTTTTTACAGATTCATTGTTTCGTTGTTTGTTTCTTCGTAATTAACTATTTCGTCGTTCTTCGATAATTTACTAGGAAGTTACTGTATATTATTGTCTTTCGTCTACAATCACCATTAATCCTCCATCTGCTTCCTGTTTTTCGTTTTCTCTTTCGCTTCGTTTACTTCGACATGGATAACTAAGATATTGATAGTTCTTTACCTTGCGCTGAATTCTTCATGAATTTTTTACGAACTTCCTACGAATCGTGTTTTAATATTAGATTCTTTGTTCCACTAATAGTAATTGTTCCTTCGTAATCAGATATTTCATGTTTTAATCGTCCAATATATCATACAATAATTATGATATTTTACGTAACAGTAATTCGTGAAAGTTTCGTGAAAAACTAGTCTCTTGTCGAGGAGATTAACGGAAGAGACTGGTATAATCTTATTTCGTAGATATAACGGAACAAGAATGTCCGTTTCTAGAGTCAGTAAAGGAAGTGACAATAAAATTTCTTACGTCTTGTTTATTAAGAAAATCAGGATCAAGAAAATCTCGTAGCACTTGGCCGGGACACGGTTCGTCACTCCAGATACTACGTTAAATGAGCTACAGTTACTTCCACCGCAGAAA